TTGAGGTCAGGACTTAGCCTCCTTAGATATGCTTGGTTGATAGTTCCTATCCAAAGTTGGGGTTAAAAAGCGTACAACGCAACTTTGAGCCCCCACATTTATTAAATTCTTACATTTAACCCACAGTCTTCTATATGTGATAAAGTGTTTTGTTTTACTCGATTCGTGTTTTCTTGCAATTTACTAAAGTTTCTCTCGTGACGGATTTTCTTACTATTTGCTTAAATCCCTTGCATTCACTCAAATTTCCTACATGTTGTCAAATTATGATTATTGGACTAACCCTTTTGTAGCAATAACAGAGGTTGAGGTGTGCGATTTTGTGTTTTAATATTGTTTATTGTTCTTCTTTTACTACACATTCACTGCCCTTTTACTTCTGTATGTTTTTTGTTACATACTAGTCCTTTAGGATAGAGAACAGTAGTTTGGTTTCTTATAGGATGGATCACTATAACATACACATCCTTTAACTTTAATAATAATAAGATCAATTTGCTCAACAAATAATTACATGTATATACATAACACATAAACCTTGGAGTTGCTTCTACAGTAAGGAGCATGGAGTAAGTTGTAAACGGATGGAAGTCGACTTCGAAAAGTGGCCTATGTTATACAAAAAGGCAAATTTACTTCAGCTAAACTTTCCTTAGTATTAAACAAAGCAACTCATAGGATTTTGAGGTTGTCCGGTTAGTGGGGCATAAATTTTGACTCCATATTTAGGCTTTTACACAACCATGTTGTGCAATATAAGCCCTATCTCTCTTAGGATTTTGAGTTCTTCGTTCGGTACAACATAAATCCTCTTATCTTCCAAGCTACTTGCAAGATTGGGTATCATGAATGTGTAAGCCCTACATAATAAAATTTGATAGGATCGAAACATCAAATAATATCATTTTTAATGATTTAAAGCAAAAAATAGGATAGTTTGGAGAGTCACCGAGATTTTCCTCAGATTCGTGATATCCCCTATCTTTCACTCCTTTGACTCCTAAAAAAAATTGTTTCTACCTGAGTCATTCCCACTTGATTTCTCCACGTCTGACCTTGAGACCGTAAACATTGAATTCTTGAAGACAAGTCCCTCTGATCATCATCGAGAGTCATCTTAAATGACATCGATCATTTAGGATGTAATTAACTATAGAAGCTTGACTCTATAGGAAATTAAAGAACCCAAGTAATATAAACCCTATCTAATATTTATATGAGGTAAGGGAACTTGTCGTTCAATACATAAAAGATTCGCAGACTAAACGAATGTCGTAAATTCTTTTAGTTTATTTAATCGAGCTTATTGTCAAGTAATGTGCATATCCTTTGGGATATGTGCATTGCTTATAATGTTGTGCTTGGTTATTTAAACTATTAAAATTTATGAGATCTTGTTAGTCATTTATTTTCAAACATAAAATACTATTTCCAAATCCAAATTATATATACTAAAATGAATTAAATAAAAAATTTATATTCAAAAGAAAAGTGACCGACAATTTGTTAGTGGATTGTGATTGTTTATAGGTATAAGTCTGTGGCACGGGTGATTTTGCTGTCTTTGTTGATGGATTTTTCTTAACGATGTTATACATATTTGTTGGTGTTGCTCCACTTATTTTCATTGATGCATGTTCTGTTATAACTTTTGAGTAATTGTGCTAATGATTTTTGACATGCTTTCCAGTTACTTCTGCACACATATGGATAATGGATCTAATTTCTTATTAGCGACCTAAAAATAGTTCTACCACTGTGCTCAAATTTATTTGATATTGTGCATTATTTTCAGGTTCCTTACTATATGATAATGAAAGGTAAAATTTGTTAAGATGATGTGAAATCCATATAAAAGTTATAATTTGATTTGCAAATAGTAAACTAACACTAGAATGTAATTACCTTTCATCTTAACATAAATCTCCCAAAATATTTGAAAGGTATGCCTATAGGAATGACTAATTAGTCTAAGGTTTTAAGTCCTAAATCGGAATTCAAAGAACACAGCTAAAACTAAATTTTGAATTGATTCATATAATCCATTGAACCCACAATAAGAGGTAAGTAAATTATCGAACATAGAGAAAACTAGGGAATCATAATTATTAAAAAATCTCGCGTAACCATATATAATAACTCTCCCTAAAATAGAAAAAAAAAAGATAAATTTGAAAACTATTCCAAATAAAAGCTGGTTAGAAAAGGAAAATAATGGATATAATGGAGAAGAAGCTTTAGAGTGGACTAGCATTGCAATTTCTATTTTCTAGCTCACCCCTTTAACTTAGATAATTTTTAAGGAGAGTTAAGGATTCTATGAACCAATAAAAAACTAGGGGATAGCTATTTTATTGAACAAGAATTAAAATTTTAAAATTACCTGGATTAATGGAAAGACATGTAGGCACACTAAACTAAGTGGATTGAGGAAGCTCTATGTAAAAAAAAGTGTGATTAAAGAAAGGTACTAGTGATTATTGACTCACAAGAATTTTCACTGAAGATAAAAGTCACAAATATTTAATAGATCCACACCCTACATTATTGGAAGAAATGACATTCTATAAGTTATGCCAACCCCGTTTCTCTAAAAATCTGAGCTAAAGTGATAGAATTACTTAAGGGAAAGTACTATAAGTTTGGGTGATTTGATGAGAATGCAATATGTTATAAATTATTTACATTTTTATCATTTTTATTGCATGTTTTTTGATCTTATGACATGTGAGAAAGTTATTTTTGTCAATTTGTGCAGATCATGGGCTTTATGTTGTTGGGAGCAAGAAGGAGGGAATTTGAAGCAAAAGAAAACATTTGTAGGCAAGAACACTCGCACCCCAAATTGGAGCACACACATGCTAGTGAATTGAAAGGAGCGTGCTCGTGTTGGCCCAAAGTGCACAAGCACCTAACCTCCATTTTACTAGTTCACAAAACATAGTGTCTAATGAGCTCGTGCTAAAAAAATAACACACTCGCGTCAATTCCCAACACGCCTGAATCCAAGAGTTAAAGCTCCTGTGTCGCCTTCCAACCTTATGAACAACACACCCACACCTCATTCGTATAAGTGCAGTGCACCCGCGCCCAACTTAGAATACAAATTTAGAAGAAATATTCTTACCTATGTGATAAAATCTCTATAAATATATCACTTTGGATGGAAAGAAACATCTTTAAAGGCTAGAATGTTAGGGTTTTCTACAACAGAGAGTTCTTTGGAGTGCCTTAGATCCTCTTCTTTTCCCTTGAGGGAGAATACTTCTAGGCGAGTTCTCTTTGTTTTCTTTGAGAGAATCTTGTTTGAGAGAGAGATTGATTGTTGTGGAGGAGAGGAGAACTTTGGTTGTATTTGGATTTTTACCTTGTAATGCTTCTTGCATCATTAATTCCATTGTATATCCATGTGTCGTTTCATTCCTCCATGAGTAGTTAAATCTTTTTTAGTGCCTTTGTGATATACAGATAATTGTTTTTCTGTGGCATTCTCACATGTCCCTTTAACATTTTTTTGTTCTTTCATGTATCCACATTGTTGATCAACTTTCTTATATTCATTTACTCCCGATCTGGCCAATTAGAATGTTAAAACTTGTTATTAACTATGACTTCTATCTTGTGTAGTGGAACGATAAGTTAACCACAAAAACATGGTAGAATAGGAATATTCTAGTTAGAAATTTGCAATCTTGATAGGGGATTTACAGAATTTTGGAAAAAACCATAGTGTTATATGAAACTTAACTTTATGGGTTTCTGATTCTTATTCTGACCTAGGCATAAGATTAAGGAGAAAACATTACTCTTGGTTGACAACCTTCAAGCAAAAGAACACTTACGAAAATCACAGAATCGCACGACACTCGAGTCACAAATGTACGAGCCTCATTCCTCTAGAAGAACACTAAGAGTTTTGTTTCCAGTTTTCAAAAATCTTATTTTGTTGTCGGCTTGCTATTTAAAATTTAGGATTTGTCTTATAAAAGTAGTGATCACACTGAGCTAGGTGTTTGGAGTTAGTAAACTAGAGCTTTTTCTGTCTTTCTTCATGGGATCGATACGTGGACTCCTAAACCAAATATTAATTGACACATATACTTGCATGCTTGGACAATTGCCTCGGCAATTTTCGGCCATCAGGGGTCCGGCTGGAGTCTTTTCCTTCCTGGATAGTTATGGGTAATTGGTTCGGGTGGCCAACATCGAGTCGACTTTGGAGGGTCAAAATGCACGAGACTTTGTCCTGGGTCAATGATGTCCTTTAGGGCTACGTTGATATTTTTTGTATTTCTTCCAAATATTTTTTGTCAGCTGGAACACATTTCTAATGTACCAATTCCCTTCTATAAAATATCAACATATGTTGAGTTCAAAAATTTTCAAGTAAATTCAGATCCATTAAATATCTATTACGGTTGGAATAGAAAATCAGAGTTCGTTTTCTTACAATGTTTCTTAGAGCCACGTTTCATTAAAACTTGGCCTCCATTGACACCTTCAAAAGACTTCATCACATAAGCCATGCATTCCAGCTATCTAATCTCTAACATTTGCATTTAACAAAATTATCAACAATATGTTAAAATAAAAAATATCTAAGCAAACGACCAAGCTGGCCGTCGTTTATGACACATTCAGAACCTGACAACTACCTCATCATCAATAGAGATCGAAATGTTTCATTAAACCTCTATTTTATTTAAAATAAGACCCTTTAAATTTAATTTGAACAACGAAATATAAGAAATAATGCCTTAAGAACCATTCAAAACCACTTTATTGATAAATTTAATTTGAATTTTACATCTAACTCTTAAATATTAGATGCAAATTATTATTATTAGTTGCCTTTTTTATAAGTAAAATATTCTTGAATAACTTTATAATACCAAAATGATATAGATATAAATTCACACGAACTGCGTGGCATGCATGTAAATTTCCCAAAGTGCATTATAAAAACTAGGACGGCTTCTCAGAACTCACAGAAACAAACCATGACTGCTTCGGCGCAGTATTACTTCTTCATTGGGTCCGCCGGAGCGGCGGTCTTGACGCTGTTCATAAACGCCTTCGCGATTGTCTTCGCGCCAATGGTGAAGCAGCTGCTGGTGAGCAGAAGGATGAACGAAGAGGATTTAGAGCGGAGGATTCCGGCGAGGAGTTACCGGTGCAGAGATGGGGAGGGAGAGAAGGAGTGCTCGGTGTGCTTGTCTGCGTTCTCGGACGGCCAGCGAGTTCGGCAATTGCAGTGTGGCCATGGCTTCCATGCTTCTTGTATTGATAAGTGGTTGAGGTCGCCCGCCACGTGTCCAATTTGCAGAGCTGATGTCTTCCCCTCGGTGAGGGTCTGAAGATGTAATTATAGTTTGATCCTGATATGCTGTGGTATAGTTTTTAGAGTGAGGATTTGGTGTACTGAATTTAGCTTATAATGTAATTCATAGATTTATAGATATAATAAGATTTTTTTATGGATTACTATTTTTTATTTATTTAAAATCTCAATTTAATAGTTTTCGTGTAGTAATCAGAGCCCGATTTGGTTGTTGTTTTCGAGTTAGTTTTTAAAAATTCACGGGACTAGAAGTTATATTTCATAATCCAGTCTATTAAAATGTAATAGTTGTAAGAAGATAACTGCTTAATTTTTTCAAAAAAAATTTATAATACCCACAATTATTTCAAAAAAGTTTCCATCCTTACAATAATTTTATAATTCATTTTATAAAAAAAGGGTGGCCATCCCAAATATATCATGTGGTGGATATTGGAGTCAAAAGTCTTTCATTTGAGTAGAACTTGAACTGAATACTTAAAATGTAATTTTAGCAGTAGTAGCTCTAGTGTCAGAGTTGTAACTACAGTTGATCAAATCATTTAAAAGGTCTGAAAGTTCTAGATATATCGGGTTTATATGAGGATATGATTAAATAGTATATTGTAAGTTGGTTAGTTGAAGGGGAAGAATGCATCCGACCTATTGTGTGATAGAAAATAATTCTTAGACTTAAAGAAGAATTTTATAAGGTGGTGGTGAGGCATGCAATGTTCTAGAGCACAGAATGTTGGTCATTAAATTAAGGGATTGTTCGGTTGAAAGCAAGATTAGTTTGAATGAGTTTTAATAAATCCTGCGAATTTGAAACTATCAAATCATGAGGTACGTGCGAAATTCAGAATAAGAATCAGTTTGAAAAATGATAATTGCTCGAAAATTGATTCTAAGTTTAACTCGCATGAAACTTGTGTTCAAATAAACACTAAGGTATAAGCCAAAATTTTGGATCAAATTTATTTGGAAACTACGTATCAATTTTATTTGGAACCCAAATCATCTCGACTCGAAGTTGGATCGTTTAACATCTTAGTACGTTAATTCTGTCGAAGATCATTGAATAGTCGAGCATTGACTCATAGTTAATTAAAGCATCTCCCTTTAACAGTGTATGTCATTGTAACTACACCAATCCACTCACACATATTATTGTTTCATATTTTGTCTCTAAGTAAAAAGCCGATCGCAACCCCCATACAGATCACTGGCTTTACACTTGTAAAGAAAATATGAATGAAATATGCTCGTGAATGAGTTGGTGTAGCTATAGTGACAAACAATATTAAAGATAAAATATTGATAAATATTCGTCTATTATTGATCTATGACAGCCCTAGCAGCCTTAGTAGGTTGTTAACGTTCTGATCTTGAGCTTAAATGTTATTGAATTTAAAGAAATCTCAGTCAAAAATTAATATTAGTCAATTTTCAAGCGATAATTGTTGTTTTGTAGTAAAAAAAAGTAATTTCGACAATTTATTTAGACTTCAGGATGTCTCTTTCTAATATTTCTTGCAACTGTAACTACTTTAACCCTATCACTAACCTATTTGTTTCGTATTTTATTTCCAACTGTAAAGCTAATCATAAAACTAAATATTCTCATTGAACACCTGAAAAATATCTTCTTAGAAAGAAAAATATTTCATAAGATATAAGAGTTTTCACTACACCCATCAGTGTGAAGTCTAATATATTAGCTTGATTTATAATTGTGTATATTGGCTTGATTTATAATTGTGCATCGTGCTTGAAATTTCACTTTCTTTGATTGTGAATTATTTGGGCTCTACGAAAATGAAATCTAGGCTCTTTAAGGACCAAAAATTTCCCCTTTTAAAATCCTATTAATGAAAGATTCAAGATAAAATTAAAATCTATGATTGAAATATTCTAATTTTAAAATCAGAAATTTTCATTATGTATTTACTTTTCTGCATGACCTTTGGGCCGGTTTTAAAAAAGGCTGCATAACATGGAAATATCCTAATTCATCCCTAATTAGGCCTCCACATCTAAATTCAATTACAAAAATAATTGCACCATTCTGCATGTTCCAAGGAGGATTCCTCGTGATCCTTCAATCGATTAAGCCAAGCATAAATCTCTACATATAAGGTTATTGGTACGCTTAAAATATATAGCATTTATGTACATGTTTTTATACCTATTTTTGAGAATATTACACTTTAATGGAAGGTATTTGCGTGTTTTTCTTTCAGGTACAGAGGTATTTGTGTGTTTTTCTTTCAGGTACAGTCAAATAGATGAAAAATGGTGAAAAGAGTGAAAAATGATCAAATTTGAAGCAAAAAGGAAGAAGATGTGCAAATGAATTGTGGCACCTAAGCGCCCAGAACTGGCGCTTAAGAGCTGGGAAAAAAGAAAAGGCCAAGCCTAAGCGCCGAGGACCTCGCGCTTACGCGTCAGAGGAAGTTATTTGAAGATTCAATGAATTTTTACTAATTTTGAAGGGGTGTTTGAAGCAACTCTTGGTGAAAACGTGGATTATGGATAATGTGCACGAAAATACATTCAAATGGCTATTGAAAGGAAGCAACTCTTGGAAGATTCATTAAATGTGGATACATTTTTTAAGAGACACCAAAGCATCTTTTGGAAAATTATTAAAGGACTTTGATTGAATTGAAGAGGTCGTCGCCACCCCCTCTCTTTGAGACTTCTTTCTACCACTCTCATCATAGAATAATTAGGATATTTTTAGAGAGAAGAAAGAGAGTAGTTGTAGTTGTGTTAGTAGAGAGTACTATAAGAGAAAGGAAAAGATTCAAAAGAATTTCAAGAGTTTGGTGGAGATGAATTTGAGATAAGTTTTTATCTTTGTAACTACATTTGATTTTAATTTAGGCTTCTTATGTGTTTACATGATTTCTACTTTTAAACTTAAGTGTTGTTGTGTTTTCTCCATGAATTCTGAATAGTTTTCTTTATCTTTTTCCTTAAAATGATAAGTAATTAAGTGTTGGATGGAAATTGTGTGAAGTTTTAATCTTTAATGTTGGATTAAGTTGTGATGATTTAATCATTGTACTTCATTTACTTCTTGATTTGGTTTTACTTCTTGATTTGGTTCAATTAAGATATTAATATTTATTGTGAGAACATGTAAGATCCGAGATGGTATTGTCTCAGTAAGCTAATGGTAACAATCACTTGAGATTATATGGATGATATTGTAAGAATTACATGTGAGATATTTTATTTATATTGTCTTCATTTTACTAAAAATCTAGTTAAATTTAGTTAGTTGTTCACTTATTTTCAATTATCAAAAATTACCAAAAAAAATCAAACTTTTATTCTTGTTATAGTATATATAGTTTGAGTAAGAATATTTTTTATAGTAGAATTTGTTATCTGATTTCTTCTAAAAAATTTGTATTACTCCCTGTGAGTTTGATATTCGGTGCTTAATCAAAAAATCATATATTACTTGATAATGATATATATACTTGCGTAGTATCCCAATATTTAAATATATTAGTTGCACTCTTATTTGCTTCAGAGTCAAGTTTTAGGTGTTGTTGTAAAGAAAGAAATATAAATAAGGAAATTGAGAATATAACCACACATACGTCATTGTACTATCATAAAAGTCGGGATCAAGTTTTTGGCGACTTTGCTGGGAGTAAAAAGAAAAGAAAAACAATTCAATAAATTTTTTTAAGGAATTTTTGGTAAAGCAAATTTCTATTTTTAGAAAATCTTATTTAAACTTTTAGATTTATTATAGGAATATCGTAGTGTTGTTTTTATATAAGTTCTTATTTGTGTGATTTTAGTTTGTTTTGTAGTAATGTATGCATAGTTCACGTTCTAAAGGACTAGTGTCTTACAATTCTGAATTAGAAAGAACTATTAGAAGAATCAAAAAAAAAATTAAGAAATAACAAACCAAAATAATCAAAATGCTGAAATTAAATAAGAATTTAGACCCTTAAGAGATTATGCAAACCCTACAGTTAATGAATTCATTGTAGTGTTCAAAAACCTATTTGTGAAGCATGGGAATGATTTAAAGAACTGCCGAAAAAGTGTCCACACCATGATGTACCATATTGGTTAATAATTCAAACCATTCAAACTGTTTACAATAGATTAGCTGGATCTTTTAGATCTATTATCGATGTCGTTGTTGTTAGTTCATTGATGTTAAAACCATTTCATGACGCTTATGCTCTAATTTAAGAGATGACTAGTAATAATTTTCAAAGGCCTTCTTAGAGGGTAAATCCTAAGAAAGTGGCCAATAGTCATGAATCTAATGCTTTTGCAATGCTAGAAAATCAAGTCGCTACAATTTCAAGGAAGTTAGACCAATTTGGAATGATTTTTTCTCAATCAATTTCAATGATTGAAGAGAATTCATTAGGCCAAATGGTAGATTCTCAAACATCATTAGAAACTTTGAATGTCATGAATAATAAGCCAAATAACTCATATTCAAACTATTATAACCAAGGTTGGAAAAATCATCCTAACTTGAACTGGAATAACAATAAACTATATATTAATAATCAATAATGGGGGAACAACCAAGTAAACTCATTGGGAAACTGGAACAACTAAGGTAATAATAATGATAGACCTACTTATCCTCCAAGTTTTAACAGTAATCCATAATTTAAGAAGAAAATTTTGTTTATATAAGAAGTGGTATTACAAATGGGAAATCAGTTACAAAGTCAAGGAGCTACAACTAGAAATATTGAGAATCAACTGGGACAAATAGCCAATTCATTAAGTAATAGATCCCAAGGAATACTTCCTAGTAATACAGAAGCAAATCTAAAGGACCAGAATAAAAAGCAATAAAAATTCATTCAACTTAGAAGTGGAAGAGAGTTGGAAGGTAGAGTTCAAAAAGAGATTAAAGTAGAAAGAGAATAAATTGAAGAGCCTAAAGAGGATGCTCCAAAGGGTTTCGAGAGACCTATTTATTCACTAAAAATTGATTTGAAAAAACCACCACCTCTATTTCCTCAATGACTTCGT